AGTTTGACGTAATTTTCCAACTGGGAACAGAGCAGGTTTGAGTTATCTTCTTAGCAAAGGAACCAAGTATGACTAAGAAAGAACCAGAAAGTTCTCCTTTACGCATGGCCAGTGAATTCTGAGCTTCTCGATTTGTCTCTTGATGACTGGTCAGATGTCGATCTTGAATAGTTAAAATGTGTAACAGAGTATTCGACCTGACGCCTCGCCAGCCGAACCGACTCACTATACCTTTCAGCCAGGGTTGAAGAATTTCTCGAAGTACATTCGATTGTGCACTATTTTTCTACATAACCGTTGCCTGTGCAAGAGGAGCTGAAGGGAATATCTTGAACTGAAAGAAAATATTTATTAACAGTAGCACACCCAGTAGTTTTTATGCAGAATTTCAAAGCAGCTCGTAAGGTATTTTAAATATTGGGGGTAAACTTGACCTGCCTGAGTTAAGTTCATGTAAGTTATTTCACATTGAGATCTCTGTATTTGAAAAATGTATCTGATGTGATAAAGTAACTGATGTGATCAAGTTAGGCCTACAAAAAACTGTAGAAAAAATTGGTTGCGATAACAATTATGGCTTGTGCTGAAAGAAGTCTTTACGACTTTCTGGTTGTAAAATGTTTCGAAACAGATTTTCTTGGACTTTTAACAGAAGTGTGGACTTTAGAATGACAGGTTTTATGAATTCATTGTATTCGGCATTCAGGGAGGGGAGTTGGATAGTGTTTCCCCAACCTCTGTCCACGCACGTTTCATGGAGATTAGGATTAAACCCAAACGACAATCTGCGTCATAATACGGGTCCGGTCAGTGAGTGGTGTTAAAATGTTCTTTAGTTTCGCGGATAAATTCCGAAGTATATTTGTCTATCTCCCCCACTCCCTTGCTCCCCTTTCACCACAATCTTCTTGGCATCTTTATGAATTCAAGCCGATAATGAGTGTGATGTAATTATAGCTAGCCAATCATGTTCGGATAACTTGAAATTGACATTGGGTTTGAACTCTGTTAGTTTTGAACTTGTTCATATCTCAAATTTTGTTTGTTGTTTTAAGTTTAAGACTTTTTGAAGGGTTTATGTACAGAAAAATACTTTCTTTCATTGGTTGCATTCATTACATGTTAATTTATTGGGTTTGACTTTAACATCTTTATCGGAAAAGGATATTGTTCAATTGGCCTGCTCGCTATCGGAAACAATAATTTTGTTGTTGCTTTACACTAAGAGCCTGAAAACACGTGATAAGGAACCGGAAACTCGTGATTATGAGGGTTGTTTGTTGGAGAAAATAAGTGTTACATGTTCATCTCGTTAGTTGACCAGTGGGTGTAAATGTGGTGTTTGTTAGTTTAGAATAAAAAAAAGAAAAAAGCTGATTCAAAAGGAAACGTGCGTTGGTGCGCTTTCGACACTTGCCTTAACTGACTCATTTCGTAGACGTGGGTCTCAATGGTATGATGGCTCTTACGACTAACAGGTATAAAATTTTGGCTGCTCTCTATATATTTTTTTAATTTCTCTCAGTTCCGATTATAAGGAAAAGTTTAAAAGGCAAACATTCTTACGACTAGGCGTTGAAATCTGTCCAATTTCTACGCCTAACAGCTAGTTTATTTTTCCTTCTACGGCTAACGGTTGACCCCATAAATATTTCCAATTCACATATTGCATACGGAATTGATGCTCTCAGATGTATGATAATGATCATAAATTGGTAAACTTTCCAGAAGGGAAATCGAAAGAAACCAAACATTTTTTATAACCTGGGAAGTGCAGAGAAAGCCTGGGTCGGGAATAAAGTTGGAAGCTCTGTAACCTGTAAGTTGTCAACCATCTTCAGTAAAAATCTATTTTTGAGTGAAAAAAGGGAGTTAGAATTTGACGTACATCTTTTATTTTCAGATATACGAATGATTACATCTGCAATATCAAAAGGTTAAACAAAAAAGGAAAGAGACCGAAAAGTGACAGATTCTCGCGTGATGTGAGGACGTTTCTAAAAGAAGGACTGAGAAAAAGAAAAGGCCGAAGAAGGTATGGGAACAAGGAATGGTGAACAAGGAATGGTCAGCAAGGAATGGTCCACAAGGAATAAACCCCTTGCACATGACGTCACTGGCGATTTAGGATCACGTGACAATTTCCATATGGAGGACAACCTAGCGTGATAGATCTAAAGAAATATACGCAGAGACGTCAATCATGGTCAACTTTTGTGCCGTATTTGGCTGTTCTAACCGTTCAAATCGTAACAAAGACAAGCGTTTCTTTAGAATACCTACTGTCAAAAGTAATGTCGGAGATAATTTAAAATTGCTTCAAAAACAACGCCAAAGCGAGTGGGTAAAGAGGATCAAACGTGAAGACCTGACTCCAGA